CAGCTGCTTCACTTCAGCTGCTTCACTTCAGCTGCTTCACTTCAGCTGCTTCACTTCAGCTTTTAGTTTGTTCAACGTGTGGACCTACCTGTCGAATGAAGCGGTCCGTTCCAAGGTCCACCATCAAAGCCTGTTTGAGGGAAAGACTGGATTAGAAATCTGTTTCAGCTCCTCTCTAACACCAAAAGAGAAAATGCTACGAAATGAAGCAAAGTACAAAATAGAAAATAAAAGATGCGTGTATTAAAGAATTCTCTTTGTTCTTTAGTGATGACTTCAAGCGTCCTTCAGCTACAGGAAGCACAAACAGCTGACGCTGGTAAACGGCTGTGAAGCATCAACTCTCAACAAGACGGGCACTGGAGTTAAAGGAGGCAGCTGATGTGCATTCCTTCAAGGACCAGGCCGGTCATTAAAAACGGAGTTTCTGATAATAAAACGTTTAATGTGACGTGAAAAAAGGCACAGGTCACCCATGTCAACTAGCATGAACTGGATATTCTCAGCAACTCTTTTTTTGTGTGTGTACATTTTAATAATACATTGTACAGTAGTCCCTCCCTCGCTGCTTGGCGGTTCGTTTATCACGGTTTTTCAAAATAAGATTGGACATGACTCACAGTTGGCTGATTGATGGATGAGCCGCACGATATGCATGAAATTGTATTTAAAATAAATTGATTTAAGTTATTTAGCGCCTGCTGCACCTTTGTGCAGCCCATCCTGCAGGATAAACTTCATGCTGCAGCTGATCAGCTGTTCTCTGAGGGTGGAAGTGGGCGTGGCCAAGAGCGCTTGCAGGTGTTTGAGAGCAGAGGAGGCGAGAGCTGAAGTCATGACATCCTGTGTCTTTTAGAGGTTTAGAGTTTAGAAACAATGTTTAGAATATTGCAGGCGTGTGGGAAGGGTTTAAAACACACACATATATATATGTGTTTATATATATATATATATACACAAATAAACTAGTACTTACTACTTGTACTACTATTCCTACTTGGCAGTTTTTCACTTCTCGCGGGGCTTCAGGGTACAGATCCCAGTGATAAACGAGGGACTGCTGTTTCCACAATGTGCTCTCTGCATTTGACCCATCAGATACACCCCGGTGGAGCAGTGGGCAGCTACGTAAGCAGCCTGGGAGCAGTTAGAGAACAGGTGTCATGCTCAGGGACACCACAACAAGTGGGCAACGATGGGGAGTTGAACCTGTGACTGTCCAGTTCCAAGCCCTACCTCTGCTCCACAGCCCAGTTTTGTAACACGTTTTCTTTTTCTTCCTAGAGAAATGACCCCAGGACCAGCCCTTCCGTGTTACTCCGTCCCTTTCCTGTCCTCTCTGACCGCGGCCGGTCGAGGCAGGCGGCTGCACGTCCCGAGCTCGGGTCAGACGGAGGTTTCCTCCTGAGAAAAGGGAGTTGTTCCTTCCCACTGTCGCCGACGTGCTGCGCAGGATGGGAGACTGCACCAACGCGAACAATCACAACTTTTACCAACTGGTATTTCATCGTGTAAATGTTTTTGTACAGTGCCCTGAGATGACCTTTGTCATGAACTGGACTAAATGTTTATTAAAGTTGTAATTTTAGACACTAGTTCTGCAGAGATTTTGATTTTGAACAGGGTTTGTGTTTTCAGCATAAGTTCTGTTTTTTAAAAGTGACTTTTGTAAATGACGGAGTTGTCATTTTGTTCTATGAAGTGTTAAATTACGACAAATCTTTGTATATTTGACCAAAACTCGTGCAGTTTTCTAATTATCTGATCCACAGTTCGAATCAAAGAAAAATAACTTTTCATTTATTGTGATGAATGTTGCAACAACAGCTGCTTTTCCTCAAAATAATCTGGAACTAAAGACAAACAGATTTCCTGTTTCTGTAACGAACGTTAAAAAGTGACAACGTGTTGATATAATCGCTTGGTCTGCTCGATAATAAAAGAGATGCAGGAGGTCAGACAGACTCAACAGCCTCCAGTTCAAAACAGACGGAACCTTTACAGCTTCAGTTTATCAGAGTAAGAGAACTAAGAGTGACCAGAAGTATCTGCACGAGTACTTTCACACATTCGAAGTCAAAGTACAATCGTGAGAAGCCTCACCTCTTCCACAGGGAGCTCTTTGAGTTTAGGCAGCGAGCTGGACAGCAGCCCCACCAGGAAGGGGGTGGGACAGCAGACGATGTCCAACATGGAGGCCGGCAGCACGGGGATAAAGGTGTGCTGCCAGGAGAACGGGTAGAGCAGCGCCACAACGGCGAGCATGCAGCTGGACAGCGTGCTGAAGACGGAAGACGAAATAAAATCAGTTCATTACAAACTTTTTTTTAATTATTGTTTCACCTGGAGCTCAGAAAATTTCAGGAGCACCAGTAAAAATGAGAATAAGTGACAAAAACTTTTTTTTTTTCCCACTTCATCTCGACTAGTTTAGTATTAATAAATATACTGGTCATAAACACAATTTACAGGCATCAGCTGTTCAATAATCCTTCCATCCACAGCTTTACCCGTTTCTTCTTCTTAAAATAATAAAAGATCAGAAATGTGTTCTTTCTCTTCTCTAAACTTTATCAGAGCTAATCTTATTAGACCAAACTATTCATGAATGTTTGAAGTTGACACACACTAACTCCCAATTACCGTATTTTGCGCCGTACACGTCGCACCGCCCTTTAAGTCGCATCTGTCCAAACGTGTGTAATAAAGTGGAAAAACATAAATAAGTCACATCTGTCCAAACATGTGTAATAAAGTGGAAAAACATAAATAAGTCACATCTATGACGCGTCACTGCTGACAACCTGGAAACGTGGGCCGCTGTTGTGCCAACAATCGATTGGCTGCCAAATGGCGGCCGCGGGAGCGTGCACAAGAGGACTTTAACAAGAATTTAACAAGATTAACACTTGAAAACAATTATTTGTTTGCTCGACTTCATAGTAAAGGTGTGTCTCAGTTGAACTTTTGCTTAATAAATGCACTTTATTGGTCAAATCAGCTGCATGTCTCCGGGGCGGCGCAGAGAAATGAAGCTGATTTGACGGTTGCTCCAGGTGAGCTGGACGAAGGTGGCAGGCTATGGCAAGAAGATTGTGTCATTAATAGCCACTTTTACCGATTACATGACACAGCAGCATGTCATGCTACTCGAGTGCCATCTAGTGGCTGAAAATGGTAGTGCTCAATATTTTCAGTGTCAGAATGAATGAAAACGGTCGTATCTCAGCCAAACATCGGTTTATAAATATGGGAATAAAAAACATGAACAGCCGCTTCAGTGTATACGTTATGCAAAAAAACTGTGACTTATAGGCCGAAAAATACGGTATATGGTGGTCAATTAAATAAATGTTAAAACTGAAGTTAAATTTCTCAGGTTTAAAAAACAATAAAATGCACAATAATTTCACTCTTGAATATTTACCTCTGTCAGTAACTGGTGCACGTTAAATACAAACAAGAAAATATCCTGATGCATGCTCAATAATCCAGGTAGAAAAATCTAAAATAAATGCTAAATCTGGTCCTCTGGACATAAAAAATAAAAAAAGAAAGAAATTGTAGAAAAGTTTCGTCTTTCATCCGAATGACTTCCTCAGTCTGATGTGCACCTCAAACTGAGGAAGTCATTCGGATGAAAGACGAAACGTTTCTTATTTTTTTTATGTCCAGAGGACCAGATTTAACTTTTTTAAACAAAAGAAAAGTTTTCTGCTTTCTTAAACGTTTAATTGAAAAGACGACACGTTTAATTTGCTCTGAAACAAACCGAACAACAACGTGCGACACTTTGTCTGCGCGTCGACTCTTTGCTCCCGACGCAGCGTCAGAACGACCCAACACGTTCACAGACTGCACAACGATGTTCTGCAGGACTTTAACGTCCAGCAGCTTCTGGACGAACGAAACCCCATCGGTCCGAACGTATTTCAACGAGCCACAGGACAAAAGTTGAGCGTGTAAAACGCGTCGTGGCGGTCTGCAGCCGTGGCACCGTCACGACCGTTGGCTGCAATGAAGCTGAAGTTTTGTTGTTGCTGCAAAAAAAAGCAGCGCTTTGGTTCAATGTTGACACACAGCTGTGAAATAACACGGAGATCCCAAAGAGCAGAACGTCTTTCTCACGATCCGTCGCTTGTTGACAGTGGCTGACCCTCCTCCTTTCTGTCCTCCAGTGTCCAGTCCACACACACACACACACACAGGTTTGTTTTGCTATCTTTGTGGGGCCTTTGCATTGACTTCCATTCATTTTTCATTCATTTCTATAGCCTAACCATGACCTTTATCCATAACCTAACCATTACCAGAACATACCTAACCCTAAACCTAACACATCCTCAATTCACATCTTAGTCCTAAACCTAGTCCCTAACCCACCAACGGGACTTCTTCTTATGGGGCCCGGGCTTTGGGCCCCATAAGGAGCAGTTGGTCCTCACAATGTAGTATAAGTTGGAAAAATGGGCCTCACAAAGTAGCATAAACAAGGACACACACACACACACACGCACACACACCTCTAAATCAGTATGGATCATGAACAAGAGCAGGGATCCAACATGATGTGCAAACTGTTGAAAACTTTTTTCATTTTAATGAGGAACCTCAACCAGGGGGAGAGGTGGTGCAGCGGTTAGAGAAGGTGGGCCTGTGATCGGAAGGTCACCGGTTCAACTCCCTGGACCGACAACGTCAAACTGTTGGTGGGAAAGGTGAAGCACCCACACCTGGTTCCACTGCCATTTGCCCCACTCTGGGCCCTTGAGCAAGGCCCTTAACCCCCACCATCTGCTCCCCGGTGCCCTGATGGCGGCTCCCTGCTCCACGCAGAGGCTGTGGCAGCTCGGTGGTTGTGGTCGAGTCAGGAAGGACGTCAGTCTTGGTGCAAACGAGTTCGCTGTGGCGACCCCTGAAGAAAGGAGCAGGCGAGATGAAGAAATAATATTTTCAGTCCTCGACAGAAGATTTCACTAAAGTTTTTTTTATTTAATCTTATGGAGTTTTAGTCCTCAACAACTTTTTAGAAAATAAAAGCGTAGCCTTCCTTGAATAAATGCATATCGCCCACGGACAGTCACGCTACAGTTCAGAGCTGAGATCGTCTTTTCTTCAGAAATCACAAG